TATACATATATATAAATATATATATATATATATATATATATATATATATATATATATTTATATATATGTATATATATATGCATATATATATATATGTATATATATATATACCCATCAACTAGAAAATAGTTGGTTCATTCTTACCCGAAAGTTGTAACACTCCAGCGCTTATACCACAAATCGCAATTTGCGCTACTCGTTGATTAGGCAGTGGAAGAATATCGTCACGGTCCTGATTAAAAATCCCCCGGTGTGTCAAAGTTTCGGAACAAAATGGCCAGTACACTTGATTTTAAACTGGCTTCAGTGACGTTGCGGTGCTATGCCGCCAGGTGCATGTTTTCTCCTCAGTTCATGCCGAATGAGTAGACTGATAATTCCGAATTCGGCATCCTACGGATGCAATTGCAAACGAATTGTGGTGTTCTGTTAGTTCTCGCCGTGGTTGTCTTATTGTTGTTCATTCCGATCTGCATTATGCATTTACGTCAGTGTTTGATGCGTTAATTTCCGGTCGCTTCATTCTTTAGCTTTATGTTGTAGATCGTGATTCCCAGAGCCTCTGTTCGGTTGACTCATTTTCTTGTGGCATGTTAACGCTTCTTTTCCCCGATGATAATTGCCTCACGTGACCTCTAAGTTAGAAAGCAGCTAGGTTTGCATGCTTTCCAACTCTGTTGATACATTTTCGTTTGGCCTGTGCAGTTTATCTCTCTGAAGCTCTTCATGGATAGTTTGGCTAACTCGTAGTTTGTGCAACTACAACATCCTTTACAGATTATATTCTACAATGCTCTAAACACCAGTAACTGATGCATACTGATTTGCTCTCACTTGACCTCGTGCTCTACAGTGCACCACATACGTAATGCAACGGTTCGATCGCTTCACACCTCATCTGTTTGCTATGCTCATTCAGCGTTTCATTTCACTGGTCTTTTGGTAATGCATCTTTGCCCTTCGCTCTCTCTCTCTCTCTGTCGTAGAGTACCATCGAGATTGTAGTTTCACCAGAACACGCACTTCTGACAACAATGTGCCTCATGGTTTTCATATTCACCTGGTATTCTCATCCCAGACTTCGAAATCTCTACTTGGTATTCGGGCAACAACTGCTATTACGCTGCTGTCGTTCAACTCACTCCACCTTTCTATCCCCCATCCCTCAATTAGTACACATTTGAATAATATCACACTTGCTTAATGAATGTTGCTGCGCCTTGCTCATTGTTAAGATAATGTATTTAGGTCCTCTACAGTTGTAGCGTGAATTTGTTGCATTACCGGTTGGTAAACCCGTAATTGCTGAATTTCGTGAGCGTTAGTACTCCACCTTGTTCGCAGCTCAAGTTCCCTCGTTTCTGAACTAACCCTGATTTGTTACCACCGTTACTTTAATGAATTCTTACCGACACCTGTGGTTTCTAACAATCGGCAAATTATCTGGAATGTGGAAGACTGGTATACTTGACTTCTCTGTTGTAGTCACCTGTTGCATGACGAATATGCGTCGTTTTTTAGCACAATTTAAATTCCTATGTTTCCCTGTTCCTCATTCCTTTTATCATCATAGGAGCGCTGCTTGACGCTTGATCGTCAAGTAAATGAGCGAAAAAATGTTATCCTTGAACGCGATGAGGATTTATTTCTACTCACAGAAGAAAAGGTATGTTTGCCTCTTTATTAGTCTAGATTCATATGTGTGTGAAAATAAATAAATAATGCTAGTATTATTATTATTCAGTTTCCTACTTGTCCGAGCTTCGCTTATATGTCAAAAAATTACGGTACAACAGTATCTACAATAAAGTCACCAGTCCATTATTTGCTCGACGGAATACTCTTAGGTGGCCCAGACGACTGCTGATGAATTCATCTGTGGATTCACAACCAGTGTCTTCAAATGATTAAAACCCGCCTTCCGTAAAACCGTTGAGTGGTGTGTGGGAAAACCCGAAATCCATCAGAACCTAGTTTCCAGTTTCCATTGAATAATCACGCACTTTTCGAACGGGTTATAACTTCCATGCGGCCTAGTACTCCAAATCCCATAACCAGTTATACATTAGTGTGACTTCATAATGGTAAGTTCCGGAGCATACTTTACACTAGGACCATTTCGAAGATTTCTTCATGGAAACCTAGAAAATTTCTGCTGAACCATAGTAACTAATGAAGCCAAATGCAGGTTCATCAGAAGCACACAATCACGGATTGTTTAGCAGTGAATGACCATAACTTGGGAATATGAACGAATAACCCTTTCACTTTTACTTGAAGTATAAGAAGAATATTTCATGTCGCCCTACTAGAAATCAAGGTACTTAAAGTTTCCACGATACACACGAGAAACCTTACAAAGATCTGGCTGGATGAAATGAACGCAATCGGCGAAACATTTGTGAAGCTTGATCTTTTATGGACATTTTG